CCAGCAAAAAATGATACTCTGGATGAATTTCTAAGTAACTGCTTTTCATTTACTGTGAAATACACAAAGCTTAGTAATGCACAGTACTGTATATAGGATCTGGAGTTTCATGTGAGATGCTGTATGTACTAGATTTGTAAGAGTACACTTACAGTATTACTCTAGGTGTTTAGTGAACCAAGACAGGGGATTTAAAAAAATATATCTAAACAATGCTGCAGAAAAAGGGCTACACCACTCTGCACTGAGGGTATTTTAAAATTACCTGTGTGCTGCTGTGTTTTCTGATCACTGAATGATTAAAGAAACTGCATTCCAGCCAAAACAGAAGATGGAATTCTGTTTTCTTTAATTACAGTGTATCTCAGTACTGTTTAAATAATTATGGATGTATAATGCTCCTGCATTGTAAAGCTTTTTTCTTATGGATTAAAAATGCATTAAAGACATTCATTCACAGTAACTGTATATTTGTATAATCTGAATGCACAGATAATGTCTTTTTTTAAACAGTATTGTAGATGTTGTCCTGCTCAGAAATCAAGAATTCTTCTGTGGCCATATTTTCAGTGTGCATCAAATGTGGATTGAGAGACATTTAACATTATTAGTACAGTGAACAGATGTATCACAGTAACCATAACAGTAAAAAGAGAAGAAAGCCCTGAGGTAAGAACTACTTTGCAAGACTTTTTATGCTATAATGGATCAATATTGAATAAACTGTTAACCTGCATAGAAAATAAAGATACATCTGCAGTACCTTAAAAAATGTTTTTTTTAAAATGGATAGATTTAATTCAGATATACTGTACAGCATATACAGTATACAAATAATCTATTTTTCCTTCTTATAGCTCATTTCGCACCTCGCTGAATTTTTCTCACTGTGCTATAGAATTCTACTTGATTAATCTCAACACTTGTTCTACCTAAACCAGCATGAGTTTAATCAAATAAAAATCAATATCCCTGTAATAAAATTGTCCTTGACATAAAAGGCAACTGTGAAACAATATTATTTTCTAAAATAATTTTCACAATTTTATTTCTTTAGCTGTTTTTTTTATATAGAGAAAGTGTTACAGAGCATCTGCTCAAGGATTTTAATGAATTGAAAATATATTGTTGAATAAGCTTGCTGCATAGCATGTATTTAGAAATGATGCACAAGTTACTTTTTGAGAAAGTAAAAAAGAAAGTGGAATCCATCTTAAAGTCCAATTCTGACCAAAATGAAGAAAAAAATGCCTCCAAATGACAAGATACTATTTTACATTTTTTCATTCTTGCATAAGCAAGCCCCTTCAGTGATTTTATTTCTTTCTTCATATCTTTTTCTACTTAACATCAAAGAATTAAAGGCAGTCTTTAACACCTCAATCCAGGTTACACTCCCACCAGATGTTTTCAAAGGTTTATCAGGTTTGATCCTATTAACATTAATTCTGACAACTTACGTCCTTAAAATCATAATTACAACTGACAAACACAAATAATAGGGAGTGTTTCAACTATTGCTGTGCCTATATTTTATAACCACATAATTATATAAGAATTCTCTAATTATTTGTATTTGTGTTGCATTGGTTGGCCCTTCTTTTATTTGTGTATTGAATGTGACTGCAAAGAAAACTCAGTAGCTGCGGGACTGAACGTTAAAGTGGAGTGCCTTTTACACGGATGCCCTTCGATTTTTACAGTGAATGCACCCTGGGTATTTGCTTTCAGGGAGCCAAAGTATAAACTATGCAATAGATCAGCAGTAGATGCCAAGGAACTACATCAAAAAACACTTTAATTGTTTGACCAAGTACATTTTAAACATTGAACACATCTGTGGATCACAGCAGCATAAGGATGTTATTTGCAGTAAGAATACTAAGATATCTGTAAATGTTTTGCCTGCCACTTCCAACATTTGTGTTACTGAAAGTTTCTGAAAACAAAACATTAATCCGGTCTATAAACTTCCAAAGGAATTCATTATTATTTGAACTTCAGACTATAGCACTTGATATATAACCAAGTTATATCATTAATAATTTAAATATTCTATTTTAATCAAATCAAATTATTTAGGCTAGCATTTAAATACCCCATATGTTAATTTAGTAGCCAATAAACATTACTTAAGTAAAACTGAATTTACAAAATGTAAGATATTCCTTATCAATCAAAACCTGACAAGGACATCAGGTGAATATATTTATCATTTCAGTGTATTTAAATGCCAGAAATGGACAAAAAATGGGAAAAAAATAATCAATATGATCTCAATTAAAATTCACATAACCATATAAAAAACTATAAAATCAAACTGTGAAAAAAACACAGGTTGTCTGTTCTAGCAGCATTTACTAGCAGCAGGGAAAAAGCACTGTAAGGTTTGGAAGGTTCACACCTATCTTCTCTGACACAGAGTATACATTATATGATCATCTCCAAAAGTACATTGAAGTACAGTACATGCAGCACTGAGCCTCTTCAGAATAAAGAAGAACGCTACAAGAAAAGCTGAAGCAAGAGTCGGCAGAAGGGAAAAGAGAGAGGAAAGTCCATACAGCACAAGCAGAAAGCAGGAGGCTGATTTTTATGAGTAAAAAGGAGAGAGGAGAGTGAGGAAGCAAAAGAAGAGAGAATTCCAAAGAGAAAGAGAGAGTGATCAAGGAAAAGAGGGAGGAGAAAACACAAGAGCAACTGAGTGGGTGAGCCTGGTATACAGATGGTGGAGTCTCAATCTTGATGTCTACACACAGAGACCTTTCAACTTTCTATTAATGTAGCCGTTCATGGAGTGTTTAAGGCCCTTCCAGAAGGCTGACAGTTTGCTGTATTTGCAGGAATAACTATATTACTGAGAGGCCTTTAAAAAAGCTGACTATTGATTAGAAAAGTGACTTCACCAGCATAAAATACATGTAAGACAGAAAATTCTTGCTCTGCAGAGTATGTCCACTTGAGTTTTTTTGCACTTTATTTTTAACTGTTTAAAACAAATTCAAACTTTACAAATAAGAAAAAAGAATAAAAAACAGACTGCTATTTTTGCACCATGCAAATACATTTTCTGCATTGCTAAATTAAATATGAATTAGGAATGTCTTTATAATAATTATTAATCACTAGTAACAGTACAGTTGGTGTTTTTCATGTTACACTAATTAAAGATTACCTGGCACAGTGTATGAGAGTTTACCCCAGTGTCTTGGCTCAATTCCACTCTTGTCTTGAACAATCCGGACTACCTAAGGTTCACCCTTAATTGAAAAGGTTCAGTAAGTTCTCACTCCACCCCCTGATCTGCTATGCAGTGGGGCTGCCGGCACTGAACGGCAGCCACACATCACCCAGGTAGGGCTGCACTTCAGTGGAGGAAGAAGTGGGTTCCCTCTTTTAGGTTAAGTATTTTACAGTCCTTTAAGATTAAATGCACCATACAAATTCAAGGAATTTTCAATTAATATAATGACTTTATTGTATTACAATTATTTAAAATATGTTTTAGTTAAGCTGTTGTTGATGATTTTACAACTGCTGTCAAAAAATTAACTATCATATGGGATTTGGAATGTTCTACAACATAAACGTATTGCAGGGGTTTCCCTTTAATTTTATTACAACTGTTGGCTTCAATATAGTGATCTGTTTCCACAATGACGGACGCAGCTGGTAGGGAGAGACGAGAACAGCAGTAGACTCGATACAGGTCAGAGACCCCGGCCAAGACATGGTCCCACCACAAGGTGGCTCTGCTACTAATTACAAGAACTGCAATTAGTAAGGCATTACTGTAATTCTCCTTCGTTTTTGCAATTAATTGGAAATAAATACTTTTACTGAGACTGTAACAACAAATGCGTGTTAATCAGGATTAACTTAAACTACATCATCCATATAACTGCTTAGTCCAATGCACAAAGTATGATTTATCAACCGTAGATAAATTCATATTGTCTGCCTTATGTTAACCTTTCATTACATTGAAATGAATGCAAATACTGCGAAAAGCACTATTTTATGTGGCCTCTAGAAGTAAATACCAGTAACCTCTGCACGAACAAGTAAAAAGTCCTGTAATGTATTTAATCGCCACGGTATTGTCTGTAAGTACTACCTGATTCAAGAATGTCAGCTTTAGAGATACAACCAGTGTTAATAAATCATAAGGAAATGTTATTTTGGAAATTTCTCGCAACAGATGATCGTTTACAGCGACATGGAATACTGAAAAATTAAACTCTAGCTGCAAACAACACAGAAATTGTTCTAACGGGCTTCCAGTAAAAACGGATTCAAGGGGCTGCAACACTGCCAGGTGAGGTAACAAATTAAAATGCATAGGATTTCCCCATCGGTCATTTATGAAAAAGTTCACACCAATAGTTGTGGCACGCATCTCAAACAAAAGACGTGAATATACCTTTTACATGTATTCTCAGAGAATGACACACTTTCAAAATGCTGTTACTATGTACTGCGTGTCCACTTTTTAAGCAACAGATTTCATGCAGATTAAGTTGTTTGTGCGTAACTATAAAACAATTAACTTAAAAAATGTGATGCAAAAGTACTGCTTAAATTAAGCTACACTTTCGCTCTATACAATAACAGGCACTAAAGATGGATAACTTCTTATCCGTTTGACGCCTATTAAAGACTCATTCTCTGTGTTAAAAATACCAGCCTTGAACTTAACCCATCAATGCAAGGAAGCACTAGGTGTCTCTCTACGTGCATTGAACATTTTTTGATATAGCGCACAAAGATGTATTTATATATATTGATAAATATAATGAAGAAAGAGTAGAAGCGCACAGAAGCGAGAATCCTGATCCCTCTGCTACGTGTACTGCAACCATCACATCGCAAGTTGCCACATAAACGCCGCGTTTCAGAATGTCATACAATAAAAGCCGGTGCATTGATGTAACCAGTTCAGAACGGCATGGTGAATGCTCATAACAAAGGCATAAAAATATAAACACACTTTAACCTACCACTGCTGCTCTAGTTCCCAGTCCCTAAAGAAGTCAAACTCAAATAGGTCCATGTTGGGTCCCCCGCAGTCTGATTCAGTAAGGTGTCCGCTCAACGTATGCGCCAGCCTGCATATACAGCGATTGCGTGTGTCTGCTAACTGTAACCAGCCGTACTGTACGTGCTCAGCTCAGCCCAGCCGCCGGGGAGAGCAGCGCTAGAGCCCTGTGCCTGCCTGGCTGGCTGAGAGAGGCAGGCTCAGCAGCGCACAGCTCGGAAGGCGGGGTTTCAGGCGCCCCGAAGCCGTGACATGGAGCCGACGGTGGAGGAACTAAAGGATCTGGCTGTCATGATATCCAGGTGTCAGTAATAGCGGCAGGGTCAGGCCCTCCCCCTCTGTCAAAATCAGCTGTTCAGCGGTGGATGTGAAAAACGACTAAGTATGTGAATTTGTCCTATGAATAAAACATTATTATTATTATTATTATTATTATTATTATTATTATTATTATTATTAAACGGGTTTTCTCACTTTCTGCTTTCTACCCATTTCATTCACCTGGAAAGTTTACTACCCCAGGCTAGGATGGACAGGTGCGTACCACACTTATAAAGAATTCAGTGATAAAGCAGTACAAAAGCAATGTAAAAAAAAAAAACAATGGTTGCAAAAGACGAGGTTGTTAGGCCATGATTTCTAATGAGTAATATTTACTGGAGAAAACGAATTTGTTAATAACTTTCTTCATTGGTATCCTATGAGACATGCACTTTTCTTTACGCACAATGTATCCCTACAAGACCACATTATTTTATATTGTTGAGATAAAATTGTAATATAATTTTGCTTTAAAAAATAAATGAACACATTTATTTCTATAAATTAATACATGTATATATAGAAGTTCAAGTAGGGAGCTGTGTCAGCATGCGAAGCCTGCGAAAGAGCAGGTAAAGGTTTAAGAAAAAGGTAAAGAAAAGAGACGCAACGTTTCTTACAGCTGAAGGAGGCTTCCCAGCCAAAACATTGTGTCTCTTCTTTTCTTCTCAGCATGGAATAAACCTTTTTCTGTTGCCATGTCTATACAGTACATTCCGCATAATAGTTTAGGTTGTAGATTTACAGAATTAAAAGTTTACATAGTATTGGGTTTCATAAAAAGTTGTGTCTGACTTATTGGGTGCACTAACTTTCCCTCTAGATGTAGGTTTGCTTAGGTCAGAATGAGCACATACTTAGCAAACTCAGGGATGTCTGAGAAAGGGGCAGAGAGACAAGCAAGCATGAAATCTCTCTTGGCACCTCTACTCATCCAGAGCTTTTCCTGGGCTGTTATTGGACTACAAAAAACGTTCTCTTCCCAGCCACATTCCCCGATCAGCCATTGTTAACAGAATCCAAAGAGACTCCGTTGAGAGGTAAATTAAAGAAATGTGTGGCTATTTGGCCTTAACGTCATCATATTAATGAAAATTATGGGTTAGTCTTTGGTCAGAGCCAGACATAAATAGATCTTTTTCTTTCTTCTTTTTTTCAGCATGGAATAAACCTATTACTTGTTCCTTTGCAGCCTACGCATGCTGACGCAGCTACCCACCTGAACATAAATAGATTTGTGCTATTAGTTAAATAACAGAACTCTAGAAATCAATCTTTTTTATGATTTCAACTTTACTTTCTACCTGCACAATACAACAGTTCTTATATTGCAACTGTCAACTGTGTATTGATGATATATTGATTAGATTATTGTCAAGCACCAACTATGGGTTTGAGTTTTTGACACATTCAATGATAATTTATTGATCTCTAAGTCAAAATCTTGACCCTGTCATTTGATTGCATAATGCAGTTACATCTGTTTTCATCGGGTGACATTGCTTCCCTGCATGACAATGTCAATTAAATGATTTAAAGGCCATGAACATTAAGTTGTGATGACAGGTAATGACTGAGTTACTTCAATAACATTTAGACCAGACAATTATTGGATATTATTCAGCAATAATGATCCTTTTTAATTTCATGATGTACACAATGAGAATATTAATTAAAATGATTAGCTTCTCATTTGGGGCTTCAGGACATTTTATAATTAACACCACATTTTGTCATTATCATTTTCTTTCCAAATAAACAAGCAAAATCATAAAAAGTGACAAAATCCCAATTGATGGTTATACTGTATACATACACACATATCACTACTGAATTGTAAGTCAGTATTTTATGGAATCATATGCCATTAAGAGTTTTGATCTAATTTTAAGTCCAAAATTTAAATCATTTGAACCAGAGGTCACCAGTGAAAACTATTGCATTCAAAACTGAGAAGTGAAGGTTTTTACACAAAAGCTTGTGAGTGTCTGGAATAGTTACCCAACTGCATTGTTGAAGCAACCTTCAAAAAACATGTGGATAATGACATTATTGGATCAATCTCCTACTAAAAACCAAATGAGCAAGATAGGCTAAATGACCACCTCTTGCTTGTAACCTTTATGTTCTTCTGTTCTGACAGCATGCTTAATGCAGGAGTAGGGGTGTGGCCTTATTCAGACACCACCCATATTTTCCTGAGAAGTGGCTGAAGAGACCAGGGGGAGACCTATTAGGAACTATTATTTCATTCTGCCTGATGTGGACTGCGACTCATGGAAAAAATAAAAATGTAAACACTTTGCACAAATTTTGTGGCACTTTTTGTACTCAGAAAATCTACCTGGATTTTAAGAAAATATATTGAAGAAAACACTTTTTAATTAAAACATTGAGTCTTTTTACATTTTGTTTCTCTTCTGTTTTTGTCAAGAGCAATCTTCAGTCATTCCTCTGTTGATGTCAATATTGTTGTGGGGTTACTGAAGAGGGAAAAAACATCTCACTGTTGGTCTTGTGTCCAACCCCAATACAGTGCTGTAATGCATATCATATTAGTTGTGTAACTGTTAAACCTGATATTAATATTTTTCCTGACAGGAAATTTGTGTTCAGCTCACAGACATTGATGAGAGAAATTCCTTTCTCAGTGCCTGTAGTCTTTTGGAGCTCAGCACTGGCAAGGAATCCTACGGTGTGGGGCCAATAGGGTTCACAGAATCAAGTATTCTAAAGCTCTGCCACAGCCTCTGCGCTTTCCCAATTTCAGTTTAGTCTTGAGCAACAAAAAAAAATCTACTGGAAAGGGCAAAGGAAGAAGTGGTGGTTGTCCTTACATAACCCACAGTGTTATTTTGTTCAGAAACCAGAAACTGCCTCTAGTATTTCCAGAACTGAAGATTAAAAAATGCACTACTTGTTCTCTCTACAGTAATGGTGTTGTTACCTGGTCTAATCTAATTTGTGTCATTTTTCTGAGAATTGTGGATGACAATATTCCTGTGTGACAGAAGCCCGAGCTAAGTTAGACAGCTGTTTTTATGAGAGGTTAAGTACCTTTCTAACTGTATCTGTCTGACTGTGACTATGTCTGAGATTTTTAGTAGCACAATGTGTTTGACACATTGTTGATACTAGGAAAAAAGAGTATTTGACATTCTAATTGTCAATTCATCTTCAAATCTTACTGAGCTGCCTTGGTTCAGTGTATGAAATGGTCTCAGATAAGAAAAGCATATGTAAATAATAAATTAATTTATTAAAAGCTCTGGAATATTACATTATTACAAGAAAAAAGGCAATGGCTGTCAGAACATTAAATGTCAGCCCTGAGAAAAAGTTGCCTAGTTTAAAAAATAAGAGAGGAATATGAGCAATCGGCTGCTATTTAGATGAAACAGATTGGAGTTATATATATATATAGTACAACCTTGCACTGACTGAGCGGGGCTGAAGGAGCCACATTGTGGCTGAACAGCCTCCCATCGGTCCAGAGCCACAGGCTGTAGACCCCTGCCCATGTGCCCTGACACCTAGATCGCTATATGGCTCAAGTCCTGAAGTGTTCCATTTTGTTTCCACAATTTCTGTAGAAAAGAAGTGGAGCATCACCAACGATCATCATTTCAGACTTTTCACTTCCTGTAAATGACCAGACAGAATTCAAGAGTCTAGGTTGGCTTTTTGACCAATCTAATCAGGGTTCACTATTATCTAAACAAGAATTTAATAAGTAATAAAAAAAAATACAAGAAAGGGACAAGCAGTGCTTTGTAGATGAAAAATAAAGAAACCATTGTTATAATACTCAGGAATGGCAATACAAATCTGTTTAAATTTGTATATGGTTAAACACCTTTTTTCAATGCACAAATAGATAACAATATTATAATCGTTAATATATTACAATTTATGGTGTGTGTGTGAGATTTTTCCAGTGTAGTCCTCTACAAAGCAATAATAGAAAAATCTCATAGCACTGTCTTCAGTTTTCAGCTTTTTTGCTCTGTGAAAGTGGCTTCAAAACAACTGATGCATGTCCTTCAAACTAATCTTCTGAACTGAAATCCACTTGTAACAAAGAAAAGAGGAAAGGCAAAAACGAGAAGGCTGCTGGTCTACCTCATAAAAAAGCAAAAGAACGGCGTCATTGGCCTTTATCTCTTTGTTGTACAACGAAACTGCATTGTACATCCGTTGTGGCTGTGCTTGTGCATGTCTGTGCATTTATTATTTCCTGCTTCTCACCAGAGATACTGTATTCAGTCTATGCAACTCAAATGCATGCAGGAGGTCCAGGCATGGACCAGTCTGGAGGCTTGCAAAGTTCAGTAGAGTTGACTGTTAGTAATATGATGTTTGTGGTTTTTTTAAAAAATGCACACCAAGCCCAAGGTGTAGCTGTATCTCTCATCTAGTGCAACTAAGAACAGTAATGTTCACTCCAGTGCAATGTGAAAAAATGCCATATACTGTATAACAGTGTAATATAGAACAATAATACACACACCAGGGCAATTTACATTTCTGCAGTGCCTAACCTAAAAACAATCCCATAGAAAATAATTAAATTGGTGTAGAAAGAGGACAATCAATTATTGCCCAGGCCAGAGTTCAGATATGAGTTTTTAAGAGTTCCCAAATGAGAGAACTCTAGAGCAGGAAACTGAAGCCAAAGCTCTCATAGCACTGGACTCCGAGGTCTGCCCATCATTTTGTAATTATTCCCTTTGTCTTTACCTTATATGGGTCGTGCCTTGCACCCGAGTTCTCACGCCTGTTTAAAAATGGTTATATATGTACAGTATGTAGAAAGTAATCAGGCCAACTTTTACATAATTATGTTAGAAT